TTTAATATATTAAATATTTAATTAAGCGGATTAAAGCAAGATTAATGCGAAAAACTAGAACGCGATTTATATTAAAATAAGTCCCCCTTATTAAAAGTTAATTATTTTAAACTTAAATGCAATTATATTAATCCCTTTAAATTAATTAAATTAATTAAAAATAAGGTTATTAAAATAATTAATACTAATTAATGCTAAATTTAATTAAATTATCTATATTAAGTAGGTGCTATGGCTAGCTAAAGTTAGCTAAAGTTGCAAAAATCCGCCACTTCCTAATATCCGCTACTTCTTAATAAACCACATTATATATATATTATATAAATTTATATATTTATAACTTTAAGCACTTTATAAATAAAAGCTTAATATTAAATATTTTTAATTATATTTTTACCTTATATATCTTTATATTTTTATTAAGGCTTGCAAGCTAAGAATAAAATTATTAAATAAAGCTAAAAAAGGCATATTTTATAAGATTTAAAGCTAAAGGCAAGATTATCTTTTATTTATATATATTATTTTAAAAAGTTATTATAAGTATAATATTAAGTTATATTATTTATTTCATTTTAATAATAAAAATTATATAAATAATTAATTAATTAAATAAAAATAACTTATTTAAAATAAAAAGATTATTAATATTATAATTAATAAAACCTATTAATAAAATTAAACTTATTAAAAAACCTTTTTAATATATAAAACTTATATAATAAAGGCAATTAAAATTATAACTTATTATTATTAAACCTTTTATATTATAAAGGCTATATAATTCTTAAAAATAATAAATTTAGCCTTTATAAAAGGTTAAATAAATATAAATATTATTATAAATTTATATTAATTAAAGCTAATTATTTTAAAATAAATTGTTTTAAAGATTTTAATAATTTAAACTTAATATTAATTAATATAAACCTTATATTAAGCTTTATTTAACTTATATTAATTAATGTTAATTACTTTAAATAAGTTTTTATTTAAGCATTATTTATTAATATAATAAATATTAATAATACCTTAAATATATATATATATATAAGTTATAAAAAGCAATTAAGAAAAAACTTAATAATAATATATTAAAAGAAAACTTAAATTATTATTATAAATTAATATATGATTAATTCTTATTAAATATATATTAAGAAGTTTAATGCGTTTAATAAATTTATTTATTATAAAGCTTAATTTATTATTTATAAATATATATAAATTTATAATATAAATTACAATAATATTTATAGCTTTATAATGCATTATAATAATTTAATATTAATTATTATTATTATTATTATAATAAGCTAATAGCTTTAATAATTTAATATTAAAAATAATAATATACTTATATAATTATTTAAAATATAATATTTATATATATAATTATTATAAAAGTATTAAATATTATTTAAAAATTAATAAATTATTTTAAAATTTCTTAATACCTTATATAATTTAATAATTTTAAAGAAAAATTAATTAAATATTTAATAAAAACAATATTTAACCCTTACGTTTTTATTAAAGATTAAATTATTATTATTATTTATATTAATAATATTCTTATTATTAATAAGTTTTTTTAAGTTAATAGCTATTTTTTTAAACTTATATAATATTTTAAATGTAAGGATTTTAATTTTTATAAATATTTACTTAAATTAAAAATTATATAAATTAATAGTAATATTTATATTTCTTAAAAGTATTATAAGCTAATCTTGGGTTATTTGCTAAAAGGTGCCTAAATAAGGTTTATATTTAAAGTGCAAAGGAAGAGGTTCGCTCCCCATTTACACCTATATTAAAGCCTATTCTTATAAGGCTAAAGCCCGCTAACTAATTATAATAAGCAAAGCCCAAACCGTAATAAAAGAAATATATTTAATAAATTCTAAAATATTTTAATATAATTAATTATAATTAATAATAAACCTTTATAAATTTAAATTTATTTTTATAATAAAAAAGCTTAATAATATTATAATAAATATAATAATATATTAATTACTTATTAAATTTATTAATTTTCTTATTATTAAAATAAGGGTAAATCTTATATTTTTATATATTATGCTATTAATATTTAATATAAAGCTTATAATTATTACTTAAATATTATAAAGAACGTATTTTAATATATTTAATAAATATTAAATCATACCTTAAGATTTTTAAAATAAGTATTATTATTTTAATTTATTATATTTAATATATATATTAATGCTTTTTATAATATTAATTTAAATAATTTAAAAGCATTAAATAAATATATATAATTCCTTAATAATAGCTTAACTATTTAATTATTAAAACGTTAATTTATAATTATAAATTTTATTTACAAAATAAAATATATAATATATTTTTTAATATTATTATATCTTTATTAAATAATTTAAGCATTTTCTTATATTTAATATTAAACTTTATTTAAAATTATAAGATTAGTGCTTATTTAAAATATATAGCTATTTATTATTACTTTATATAAAAAGGTATTAAAAAAGTTTATAATATTTATACAAAAGCATTACCTTAATCCGCCCTTAAAAAGGCTTATATAAAATTAAGATTAATATAATAAGTATAAAGTTTATAAATAACTTAATACTTATAAATATTAAATAAAGGTTTAAATAATAAATTAAAAATAATATTAATAAAATATATAAATATTAAGCAATATTTATATAATAATCTTAATATAAATTATAGCGAAATATTTAAATTACATTTTAATTATTAAAATATAATATCTTTTATTATTATTAAGATAATAATATTTGCAATAAGGGGTGTGTTAAAAGGTGCAAGGGTTATATGCCTATATATTAACGCTAGCCTATAAATAAGCTCCTTTTAAGCATTTAATAGCAGGGAGAATTCTCTCCTTAATATACAACAAACAACTATCGTTTGCTTAATTGCTTCATCAAAGGCCAACCTATGCATTTCGCAACCTTCTCGGCCCATAATGCTGCCGCCGTCTACCTTCTCGAAGCAGTACAAACCAGCGGTGCATCTCCTTATCTAGTCGGCAACGAAGACACGATCTCCTACTACCTCGCACTTCCCTCAGCGACCACCAAGGCTGGCTTCACTCAACCCGCTGCCGATAAGTGGCGCCTCGGCTCTGGCCCATCAACTGTTCTCACCGAAAAAGGGGTCGAGCACTGCAAAGCTAAACTTCTTCTATGCCCGCCTGGTCATACTCCAGGTTCGAAGAAAGCTCGTTCATCTATTAAGGATGTTCACGCAGTAATCTCTTTTCATCCGTCCTCTAGGGTCCTAGTACTACGGAACATTCGCAAGCAGCCTATTATCTATCGGGACGGTGATGTGAATGGCCATGATCTTACCATTTACGGGGGCGTTAAAGGATAGGACTTATGCGTACTTTTTAGACCGCGCAATAAGATTCTCTTCGGCGAATATGAATTCGTGCTGGACTTCACCTTGGATCCCCAACAGCGTGACCAGTTTTTGGCGCAGCGCGATACCCTCCTATCCCGTACTTACAATTCAATACCCTCGAGACATTTAGCGCCAGTTCCTACTAACGAGCACTTCAGATTGTGGGACGTACGTGTTCACCACGCTATTCCTCAAGGACTAAACACACCACACGATGCTATATACTATGGTGTTCAACTCCATACGGGCATTCCAGTTGCCGTAAAGAGAATGCTATATGACAAGAATGGCTCTCAGCATGCGAGACGCGAAATCGAGGTTGCCTCCATCTTTGGGGCGGATTATGCAGCCATAGGTGTACTAGGCAGCCTTGGAAGCTGGTGTGAGCATGGGGTGTCGCCTCCATGTTGGCTGGAAAGCCAAACTCCAGACGAAGACGTTTTCTACTCGATGCCGCTCGCGGAGTACAATTTCAAAACGATGCCCTGGGCGAAACTCGGTTTCCAGAGGCGAGGCAGTTATTTGTACCAGACCTTGCGTGGGCTCAGCGAGTTTCATACAAAGGGCATAATCCACGGAAGAATTCGCCCTACGTCCCTCTTGATATTACCACGCCAAGCGTTACTAGTAGCTCAAAGTTTGGATCAGCCGGACGGTCTGCCAGAGGGAGCCAGCATATCGTCAGCTGTCAGTTCCCCTGCCGATGAACCCAGGGTTGCGCTCTGGGTCGCGCCGGAGCTTTCAAGCAGCACAGAGTCCAACCCGTACACCAAGGAAGCAGATATATGGGCTCTGGCTGCTTCATGGCTCTAGGCATTTGCGGTAATTCCTAATGATATTGCGATAGACGCTGCGTCTTACCGGTCGACAATTAAGACTTTGGACACTCTTCGCGTGAGTGGAAAAATTACAGAGACAATGCAGAGTCTGTTGTTATAAATGCTGGCGTGGAAACTTGAGGACCGGCCGAGCGTTACGGAAGCTATGTCCCACGCGGCTTGGGCGCCGGTGAGAAAGGAAATGGAGTTGCGCAATTGGCACGTCAGGCAGCAGCGGGAAGAGAGAATTTGAGGACCAGACGAGGGGGCTAAGAAAGTACGAATATTATCGCCTGACTTGGAACCGCCTTTTGAAGTATAGCTTTCACTTGATTTAACAAATGGAAGGGTGGCAAATAAGTATATTACGCAACTCATCGCAGCCTTTTCAGGTAGCAGACGCTGACAGTGTGACAAGAGCCTCGGTTGCCTCTCGCCGAGCTGCATTGGCCTTGGTTTTCCGTATCTTCTCTGCTCTTACAAGCAGATTAGTCGTGATCGGCACGCTACGTAGAGCATCAATACCGTGAACTTCGGAAGTGTGAATCTTCCATGCCTCGACACTGGTAATCAGAGTGTTTCCCCCTGCTTGCAACCTTTTGCACTCGGGACATGGAAAGGGTTCATCGAAATCCTTTCTCAAGTGTCGCTTGCCAAAGTGCCGAGACATTCCCTGCCCTCGGCAATATTCAGCTGAGCAGAGTAGACAGCGGACTTTCTCAGGCCGGCGATACCTCTTGGGCGCCACATCTTTCATGCTCTTCGGAAAATAGGAGGGTGAGCTTTGGCTGCCATGGACTTTTTCTGTGTGAATGACCCATTCACCGAGGCCATTGATACGTGCAGGCTCCTTGCCAGACCGTCGACATTCCGGACAATAGAAGGATGTTGCAAATGACGGTCCGTGGTAATTTTCCACATGCTTTGAGATGGTGTGGCGTTCTCTGAATACCGCGCAGCAAAACAAACAGCGGTAATCTCCTTTGAGGCTGAATTTTGGCCGAAAGGTTGGAATTGGTTCCCCACGAGCAGCGGCGTCCAGTTCTGCCAGTATGCAATCCATATTCGCAAATCGATGGGATAGGAACTCGACTAGCATATCTACGAAGTGCTGGTCTCGTTTCTCACCACCCAGTTCGCTGCGCTGCACGAAGTCGCTCATGCATCTGGTGCCTATGCCTAAGATAGGGACCCTTGTTGACCCATAGTCATCGTGGCTATCGGTTTCTCGGAGAATTGGGGGATGTTTGCCAAGTGCGCGGCATTTGTCGGCTTCGTCGAAGTACTTCCTCCTTTTCTCTTCCAGGGCTTGGGCTTGGAGCACCTTCCTCATGTACCGGTAATGTGATGAAATACGTCGCGCTTCGGGCGACTCGCGAATGGCGCCTGTGTCCGCTTTGGCTTTGGCAAGGCTCGCGCGCAGTTCTTGTAGGTCCTTCCGATCATCAAGGGCCGCTACCTCTTGTTCCGAGAGATGAATAGGCGCACGCTCGTCTGCCTTCAAGCTGATTTGTCGCAGGAGGGTGAAGAGTTCGTCCATATCCTTGCCGGCCCCGCTCCTAGCCCTGCCGAAGTTGACCCGCATCAAGTCCACAGGAATAACGTCCCCTCACCCCTTCTGCCGCACACCCGATCTGCCGCACCGCCGCCCACATAAATGCCACTATTCCCAACCTTAATTGCCCGTTATAATGATTACCAATCCCTCTTCCATTAATATTAAGAAATCGTTAAATTTATCTTTATTTATAAATACCTTATTAGCGTTAATTTAAGCCTTTTAAATAGCTTTAATATTAATAAAAATTATATTTAAATTAATTTAAACCTTTTTCCTTATAATCTTCTTATTAACTTTAATTTAAGCTTTTAATAATTAATTTTTTTCTAAGGTTATTATTAATTTAATAATTATCTTATTATGTTATGGGCTAGCCTTGGGTTGTCTGCCGTAAGGTGCCTAAATGGGGTTTATATTTAGAGTGTAAAGGAAAAGGTTCGCTCCCTATCTGCACCCATGCTAAAGCCTATTTTTATAAAGCTAAAGCTTATTAATTAATTATAATAGGCAAAGCTTAAACCATAATATATCCTCCTTTTTTAAGTCCTTGCAGCAAGCCTTAAAGGGTAGCTATATAATAAAAAATAAAGGATATTATAATTTAATTATAAATTAAATATCGCTCTTTGCTTAGCTATTTAATTATACCTTAACGCCTTTTAATTATATTAAAGGCTTAGCTTATTATTTATAATTAATATACTCCAGCCCTTATAATTTAATATATTAGCTAAAGCAAGTTAATAAAAGATAATTATTTAAGCATAAGCTAATAGCTAAATTAATGGTATTTTTATAATCCTTTAATATAAGCCTTTTATATAAGCTCTCTTACTTAAAACCTTAAAATCGCAGATTTATTATATAATTTATAATTAATTAGCGCTTAATTATAAGTAATTTGCTTTATTAGCGGGAATTTCTTAAATTTTAAGTATTTTTATAACGTTAAATTAATTAATATATAATTAGCTTACTTTAAGCTTAAGTTAATATTAAGTTAATAATATTTTTAAGCCCTACTTTATAAAAAAAATTTTATGCCCCCTTAAATAAACTTTTTTTCCTTATTAACCTTAATTAATAAAAGTTATATCCTTATTTTTTTATAATAATTTAAGTAATTATGTTTATAATAGCTAAGTTAGCTATATATAAAATACTTAACTTTGCTTATTAAAATTATTATAATATTAATATTTATTATTTTATTATTTTAAGGTTAAGTATTATCTTTCCTTATTATAGCGTTAAAAATGCTTTTATATTGCTATAAAGTAAAGCAAAAAGCTTTAAATATATTTAGCTATTTTTTATAATTAAGCTAAGCTTTTATTATAAAGGTTAAGCTATTAATTATTAATAATATTTTATATTTATTTAGCTAACTTTAAGTTTTTATTATATAAGTTAATTAATTAAATTAAGTAAGAAATTTTGCTATTTTTTCTTTATAGCGTTGCTATAATGCAATTAAGTTAAGCTTAATATGCCTTTACTTAAAAGGGTTTTTAAGCATAAGGTAAACTTTCTTTAAAAAGCTTTTTAGCTATTTTTTAAATATTTTTATAAAATTAATATAGGGTAAAAATTAATTATAAAAAGTTCTTAATTAATTAAATATATAAAAGAATTAAGCTTCTTTAGTATTAATTACTTCTTTATTTATTATAAACTTAGCTCTTATCTTTATTAATTAAGTTGCTAGGTATTCTTAAAATAAGAGTTTTTTAAGATAGGGAAGGGCTTAGCGGGTTATTATTATTTTTTTTAAGTTTTATTATATTAGGTTTTATATAATTATATTATAAGTTTGTAATATAAAAGGACTTTAAATATATATTATGGGTTAGCCTTGGATTATTTATTGTAAAGTGCTTAAATGGGGTTTATATTTAAAGTGCAAAGGAAAAGGTTTGCTTCTTATTTGCATTTACGCTAAAGCCTATTCTTATAGGGCCAAAGCCCACTAACTAATCACAATAAGCAAAGCCCAAACCGTAATATATTATACCCCTTAAATATCTTTTAAAATAATAATTATTATATAAGGCTTAAGTATTTTTATTAAATATAATAAGTTCTTAAATTCCTTATTTCTTAAAATCTTATAAAAGTTGTAAAAATAAGGTTTTTAAGCTAAGAAAAAGATTAAAAAATATAAAATTAATTATTAAAGCTATTTTTATTATTAAATTATTAAAATTTATATTAATTTTAATAATGTTTAAAAATATAAGTATTTTTAAATATCTTAATCTTATTAATTAATTAAAAACTTAATATCTTTTATTTAAAATATATATTTATTTTTATAAGTATCTTTATATAAGCCTTATAATAATAATAAAAAAACCTCTTTTTATTATTATTATTATTATTATTATATAAAGTTTAAATTAATAAAAATAGTTTTTAAATATTATTTTAAATAAATAAAAAATAGCTATATTAAAGGGGGTTAAAGAATATAAAAAGTATATATAAATAAAAAGATAATATATATTTAATTTAAAAAGTATTCTTATATAAAGTTAATAATTATATATATATAATGCTTATTAATTATAAGTAAATATTATTTAAAAGGGTTTATAAGGGTTAATTAAGAAATAAATACTCTTTTAAGCTATTTAATAATGATTTTTCTTTTATTTACCCCTTTTTTATTATTATAAATTATTATTATTATATACTTAATTTTGAAAATACAATACAACGTAATAAAAACTTACTTATAATAAATATATTCTTTATAAAAAAGGTTTATGCCCTTAAATTATAATTTTTTTAATAAATAAAGCTATTATTTATATAGCTAAAATAAAAGCATTTTTAAAATATACTTTTATTAACCTTTTTTTATTAATATTTTAATAATTATTTAGCTTAATTACTTTTATAATAAGTAACTTAAAAAGGTTAAATTAAAGCTTAATATTAACTTTTAATAATGCCCTTAATTTTTTTATTTTAATATATTAATTTTAATAGCTTTTAAATTAAGGGTAATAAGTAAGAAAGGAAGTAAATTATTGCTTTTTAAGGGGAGGATTATTAAGGGAGGAAAAGGTTATTTAACTTATAAAGGTTATTATTTTAAAGTAAGTTAATGCTAACTTTAAAGTACTTTAATTAAATATAAATAAAGTTAATTAATTCTCTTTAATATTAAATAAAAGCTTTTAAAGGTTAATAATATTATAATAATTTTAAATAATAAAGAAATAATATTTAAATATATATTTAAGTATATATTATTTCCTTTTAATTGCTTAAATTAGCATATTAATAGTAATTATATTAAGGGCTTTTTATATCTTAGCTTTTATATAAGGCTTTATGGCAATTAAGTTAATAATAATGTAAAGTTTAGTGATTAAAGAAAAATTCCTTATAAAGATATTAAGGAGTATATATAGGGTGGGTAGGGACGCGTTTATGCGCGTGACGCGGGTGTGGGGTGCGGCAGAAGGGGTGAGGGGACGTTATGCTGAGCAACGTAGTTGTTCTGAAACGTTTTCTCTGTGTTTGACAGCAAGTAGTTTCGCAGAGCCGGGCTTAGAACAGCTGAATCAAGGACTTGTGGTTAGCTGCTGTCGGCGATCTCATGTACTGCTAGGTAGATCGGACTTGCTGTTGATCCTAGCTCCGGCACCAACGCGCACAGCATAAGGGCGCGGCGGGTCACGGATGCCCGCCACGTGCACGGCGTCTTTCCAAAGTCTCCAGAACTGCATATACGAGACCGGGAAAATAGGCTTCTCCAGGAACTCGTCCTTCCATTTGACAGGGAAATAATTGACGTTCCCTTCCAGCCTTGGTCGAGTAAGGAATTGCTCAAAAGAATCAAAATGGACCTCGAAGGCATCCGCGGCTAGGGCTCGAGCCACGATCAGGCTCAATACACACACCAGCTTATATGGCACCACGGTAACCGATATGGACACCCTGCATTTGTTAGCAGTAATTGCGCACAGTCAACCATTAGGGTTACTAACAATTCGTTCTGGCTCTTCCTTATCGCGTTCTCCTTCCTTTTATTTTGTAGTAGGGAAATGGTTGCAACAGGCTCGAGGCGACCATTCACCCGGACGAAGCCCAGCTGGACTTGGCGGTATTCCAAATCCTTCACAACGCCCATTCGGAAACCCCCGATCGCTGCGATAACTAAGGCTGCATTGAAACTTACCCTGACGTCGGGCTTACACCGGATATCGGAGCCCCGCTCCCACAGGGTCTTGAGGATCAACAGGATATCTTCAGCTGTCGCCTCTCTTTTGTCGAAGAGTTGTTGATGTTCCAGCCCAAGGCTGGGCGCCAGCTTCTGGCTGATCCACTAAAAGAGATGTGCTGTGAGGACAACGCCTTTGCAGTTCTGGGACGCGGAAACACACCTGAGTTATCTGAGTGACAGGCCTGCACAGTGCTCCCTGCTTAATATCGATATACTTGACTGTCCACTTGTGATGATTCTCGGGGTCGGCTTCACGCTTTCTTTAAAGCACATTATCGTTGGCGTAACCCACAAGATCTCTCCACAGCCTGTCAATGGTACTTGCGGAGCGGACAACCCTTACTTCTTCAGACTCCTCGGTGCCAATGCAAGGCCTCATCTCCACGGCTTCCTCAGCGTAATTCTCCAGGAACAGTTGGCAATTAGTCTTTGCGTCAGCACTGTTCCCTACCAGGGGGGAGGGGGGGTTTTGTTTAGGTGCTGCAACCAAGTCAATAAAATAGTAACATAATAATAACATACTATTAAGGTTTTAACAGTATGTTTTTTTATATGCCTTGCATTATTTATACATTACTAACATATAGTCATTCTTAATATACTGTGACATAATATTAATCCTTAATATAAGAGATAAAAAAAGAGCTTTTTTTTCCTTATCCCCAACCCAACTATTTATTTATTTTTTACTAGCTTATCTATTTACTATAAAAGGATTTATATAATTATAGAGATTTTTAAGAATAAATATAAGTTTAAAATTAATAACATTTAAACCAAAGCTCTTAATATAAATTTATATTAACATTAGCTAATATAAGATTAATTTTAATATATGATGGGCTTGGGCTATTGCCTAAGCCATAATGCATGCCTATGCCGAGCTTATACTGCACCCAACCCTTTTATATAATAGGGTATATATTTAAAAGATAAATTTAAAGTTAAGCTTTTTTAAGGCCTAACTTACTTTTTCAATATTATAATTTATAATTCTTTTTAAATACCTTTTAATAAATGCTTAAGGTTAACTTATAATATTAAATTATAATCTTTAAACTATATTAAGGAAAATACTTATATTATAAAGGTAAATAACCTTATATTTAAGATATTAATCTTTTTATAAAATATATAGCTAAGGATTCCTTAATTTACTTTAATATTAAGCTATAAAAATGCTTAAGAAGTGCTTTAGCTTTCTTAATTATTTAAAATAATACTTATTAATGCTAATAATAATGCTGCTATATTTCTTTTTATAGTAATACTTTATTAATTTATAAAGCTTAAAATATATATAAATTCTTTTAACTTATCCTTAATTTAATATAAGCTGCTTTTAATTAAGCCCTTATTTAATAATAGCTAAAATAGCTTTTTAACTTAAAAGATTATAATATAATATAAGCTATAAATTAATATAAATTTTATTAAGAGTTTTTAAAAATATTAAATTTTTTTATAAAGTTAGCTATTTATTAAGGTATAATTATATATTATAACATTTTATAAGCAAGGTAAGCCTTAAAATAACTTTAATATAAATAAGTTTTTTAAATACTTAAAATATTATTATAAAAACTTATATTAATAAGTAGCTACTTTAGCTAAGCTTAAAATATTTTAAATATAAGATTATAATAGCTTTATTTAATTTTATATTTAGTTTAAATAGCTAATAATATAAGTTAAAAGCCTTAAGTAATTAAATAAAATAAAGCTAAATTACTTTTATAATTAACTTTCTTTATAGCTTTATAATAAGGCTATTAAGGCATTAATCTTATATATAAATTATAATAAGATAATAAATATATATTATTAAATTACTTATAAGCTAAAAGTATAAAATTTTAAGCGTTAATAATATATAAGCTTAACCTTATGCTTTTTAAAGCTTTTAGCTTAAAAATAATAAGTAATAAATTAAAATATAATAATAATAAATATAGTTATAATAGGTATAATAAGGAATTAAGGCGTTAAAAATAAAGGGTTATAAGGGCATTAAAGTGCCTTTTTTTCTTAATTAATTAATAATTAAGCTAAGGCGCCTTAAATCTTTAAGTTTAAAAGAAAGGCTTAATAAAAACGCAAAATATATTTATATTATAATTAATAAGGATACTTTATAATAAATTATAAACTCCTTTTTATAATTATATTAATTTAAGATTAAATTATAAAACTAATTATACTTTATAAAAAGAATTTTATTAGCTTTAAAAAAAAAGATTAGCTTTTAAGCAAAGTTTTGCTTAAAAGTATAAGCCCTCTTTATAAGCTTAATTTATATAAAAATAATATTAATAAGTATAAAATAAATTAAATAAGCTTTCTTTTTTAATTTTTATTATTATAAATTATAAGTATATTATTATTACTTAAATAAATAATAAGTATAAAAGGTAAAATTAAAGCTAATAGCTTTGCCTATCTTAAGAAACTTAAGGATAATTATTAATTTATTATAAAGTTAATATATTATATATATAATATGGTTTTTCTTAAATATTAATATATAATAAGCTTTTATTTTAACTTATATAGTTTTAAGCATAGCTTATCCTTTTTTATTAAGCTTATCTTAATTATATTATTATAATATTTTATTAAACTTAGCTTATAATTATATAATAATTAGCATAGTTTAAAAAATAATTATAAAAAAGGAAAGTTAATAAAATATAAATAATTTAGCTTAATTAATTTTTAAAGTAATTATAAGGATATAAATAAATTGCTTATTTTATAATAAAATAATAAATATTATTTTAATAAAAATAAATTTAAATAAGGTTATATAAATTTTTTAAATTATAACTTTTTAAAAAAAAATAATAATAATATAAAGTAATATAAGGTTAAGCCTTTATTAAAGAAAGTATAAAACTTTATTAACTTTTTTAATAAAAAATAAGCTTTTATTTTTTTATTATATTAAAATTAATTTAATTATTATATTTATTTATTATTAATAAAGAATAAATTTATATTAATATTATTATAAGGCTTATTATATAATATATCTTAAAATTAATTATTTAAGTTATAAAAATAAATTATAAAACTTTATAATAAAAATTAAATAAAAATTAGCTTTTTACTTATAGCGGCTTTAACTTTTTTAATGCATAAGGTAAATAAAAGGTAATAATTTTATATAAATTATTATACCTTAAATAAGATAACTTAGCAAGATTATTACCCCCTTTTCTTTATTAAGGAAATATTATGCTTTTTTTTAATATTTAATAATTTATAAAGTTAAATATTTATATAGCTTTTTATTAAATATAAATAATAAAAAAGTAAAAGTATTTAATAAAATTTTAAACTTAATTTAAGTTATTTAAATAGCTAATTTACTTTTTTAATTTATTTAATATACTTATTATATTTTAATAATATATTAACTTAGTTTTAATTAATATTTTAAAAAAGTATATAATAATATATTTAAATAATATATTAATATTTTCTTTAAACTTAAAGAGAAATTATATAAGGAAAATATAAAAGGTTTTATATTATTTATAAAATACTAAATTAAACTTAAATTAAAATAAATATAAGTTTATAATAAAGAAAGTAAAATACTTAGGCTTTATTATTATAATTAAAGTAAATATTTAAATAAATTTAAAAAAGGTTAAGATAATTTAAAAATAAAAGGTATTATAAATAATTTGCAATATTTAAAGCTTTATAAAGTTTATAAACTTTTATTATAATTTTATTAAAAACTTTTTTAAGGTTATTAACTTTTTTTTTTATCTTATTATTAAGGAAACTTTTTTTAATAAAAAAGTAAAAAAAATATAGCTTTTTACTACCTTAAAGTAATATTTATAAAGGCATTAATTTTAATTAAATGGAATTTAAATTTAAGTATAATAATAAAAATAAATTACTTAAAGATAGCTTTTAATATATATTTATTAGTTTAAAAAGGGGGGGCTCTTTACTTAATTACTTATTATTTTATAATAAAGAGTTATTAATAATAATTAAGGCCTTAAAGATATAATTATTTATACTTTAAAATATATTTTGCTTATTTATAATATTTATAAATTATAAAAGCCTTAAGTATTTTATTAACCCTTAATTCTTTTTAAAACGGCAAGCTTAATAAATTAAAATTTTATTCTTTTTTTATTATAATTTTTAATATTACTTAAAGATATAAGTATAATATTTTAATATATTATTATAATAAAAATAAAATAAAATAATTTTAAAAAAGAATTATATAATTAAAATGCTTTAATTAATTTTAATAATAATTTTTAATATTTATATTATTATGCTTATAAGGTTATAGTTATTTAATAAATTAATATTAATTATGCTTTAAAAATAAAAAAAGTTTAATAAGATTTATAATATAAAATTTATTATAAAGTAATTATATTTAGCTAATAATAATTTCTTAAGAAAGTTAAAATAATAATTTAAATTATTAATTATACTTTTAATATATATAATGCGCTTTAATTTTAAGGCTAGCTATAACTCTTAAGTTAAGAATTGCTTATTATATTAATATTATAATAAACTTATAACTTTCTTATAATAAAGTATTTAAAATAAAAAGGAATCTTTTAAGTTTTTTTATATAATTCTTATTAAAATAATATATTATAAATTATTTAATATTTTATTTAAAATTGCAATATATATTATTAAACTTAGCTTAATTAATAATTATAATAAGGCTTGCTTTACCTTATTCCTTTTTTAAATTACTATTAATTTTAAATATTTATTAATTTTATAATAAATTTATTAGCTTATAAAGGCAGCTTATATTACTTAATAATTATTATAAATTGCTTTTTAAAATAAGTTTTCTTAAAAGTAGTATACTTTATAATTATAAAAAATTATATATAATACTTTATTACTTTATAATAATGCTATTATAAGTTTTTTATATTTATTATTAATAATTAAGGCTTTAATTAAATAAGGGTATTTTAAGCTTTTTTATATATTTAAATAAATATAAAATGCCTTTTATTTATAGCATATTACCTTAAAATAAATAATAATATAAAGCAAATAAATTAAAAAGTATAAAAGTATTTATATAATATTATTACTTTTTTATAAAATAATTAAGCTAATTACTTTTTAACTTATTAAATAGCGTTAAATAATAGGAATTTAATAATAATTAATTAAAGCTTAAATTAGCTAGTAAATAAATTTAATATATAAGTAATTTTAAGCCCCTTAAATATAATAATATTTATAGCCAATCCTAAGGATTAGGCGGCTATATTTTTAAATTATTTTTAAATTAAAATAAATATTACTTAAGCTGCTATTATTTTTATTTAGCAGTAATAAAAGCAAGTAGTTAATAAA